GTTTGTTGCCTTTTATTGCCTTGATTTTTGGGTGATTTCTTCTGTCATTGCCAATAGTGTTTTTTTGTTTTGTTTTTTACATTTATTACTGCAAGTTCAAAATAAAATTGCAAACAGGACTCAGAAGGAACAGATTCTGTTACTATAGATGGCTAGAGTGGTACTTATTACATCTGTCTGATTTCTGACTTCTGACAACTTAAACAGCTTCTTCACAATTCCTTGCCTTAAAAAAGGCAAAGTCCCCTATGATAAAGTCATGACACAGCCACACCCTATGAAACTCAATGCAACAAAAGAACCTGATCAGTCAAGCCATCTAAATGTCACTCTGCAAGCATTGTAACTGTAACATTGAAACTACATTGAAACTACAGCTCAACCACATCATAATGCTGTTATCCACTCACTAGATTATGTAGTACATCTTTCCTTTTGCTAGCACAGAGATAGAAAAAACAACAAAGGCTATTAAGGTTGACACCAACAAATTTTTTTGCCATCTCCCTTCATGGTTATGATCATATATCACGCTCTAATCAAGGAGAACTTTGCAGTGGTTAGTTAAAAGGCAGTGGGAAAATTGGTGAGGGAGGGAATTCTTAGCATCATAGCTTTGAGAAGAAGATGAAATAGCTCACATATGTATATAAAGTACAAAATGGGAGAAGAAAGTGACGTTGGTTACTGAATTGCAAAGATGTTGAAGATGCTTTAAAATTACTGAGTTTTCTTGGATGCTCTTTCAAGTTGAAAGGTAATAGTGAATTCTTTAGTATGCTATTTCTGCCTGAGAGATTAAAAAGCTCTCTCTAGGATTTTAAAATTTGTTGCTTAATAAAATAAGCAATTTGTAAATACTTCAAAAATTAAAGTATTGAATATGACTGCTGTTATGTGTGTCCTCTCCTGTAAGTAACTGTAAAAACATTTCTCTGTTTTGTGAGTTTAATGGACTTTGACAAGAATGTGGAATCATACAGTCATCTAACTTAGAATGCTGTTTATGAGCAGTGATTTAGCATTTACTACTTATCACTCCACCCATTTAAAAAGTTTTATTCCTCTAGTCAAGAACTGGAAACAATACCATCCTACCACTTGCAGACTCTGAATAAAAAATAATTGAAATAAGCATTTTGCAAATGTTCTGGAGGCGGAAATGTGCTATTTGGCATTTGTTTCTGAATAATAAATCCATTCACAGAAATCTGGTTCAGTCCATGAAGGGAAAAAAAAACAAAAAACAAAAAAAAACAAAAAACAACGAATCTTGAACTGAATTTTATTATGAGTGAATTATTTATCTAGCTATTGCCATTATTATTTAATATTTCATACTGTCAATGAGAAAAGGCTTTGCAAAAGTGTGTTGGAAATTATGCCTTCAGTAGAGAGTGTAAAACCTTTATCAGTAGTAAGAAAGAGTAGGTGCTAAGACAGAGTTATGCTGTTGCATGTTTCTACATATGTATCAGATGTTTGTAGTATGTAGTAAGAGAAAGCTCCCCAGCTGTGTCTAGGTGTGTATTGCAAGGCAATTGAGCTTCATAATTATGCTACAGATTTTGAACCATTTCTCTCTCCTTCATAAAGGCTGGGAGAACTGGAGTTTGAAATTTGATTATGATAAATATACAGCTGTCTAGACGCCTTTGGTAGCGTTTCCTTTCTGCTTACATGGTGCTAATGGGAACGGATCTAAAGCTATTAGAATTTGTTAGCAAGAATTCAGAAGCTCGGAGGCTCATTCTTAACATACATGACTCGGTATCAGAAACAGAAAATTTGCCACCAGAATCTGGATTTCCATTGCTTCCTAGCTTCAGAAGCGCTGTATATATTCAAAGGGTTGTGATCATAGGGCTTTGCTGTTTCACAAGAAGAAGAAATCACATAAGAAGTTGCAGAAGTGATGCAGTTTGTAAGCGGTTTACTTAAGAACTTTTTTCTAATTATAAACCTGTTTAAGGAGTTTAGAAAATTTTGTGCTTTATTTGTCCCAAATATGACACCTCAATGACATGGCTAAATTCCATTATTTGTTCTAACATTTGAAAAGTAAACTCAAGTGAAAATTAACCACGTGTTCCCATATGCATTTGTAAAATTATTTTCAGTTTAAATTATGCATTCAATACTTTTGTTACTGAAAAAATAGTAACTTTGTGACCTGGGAGCTGAAAGGAGCAGGGGCAGGATGGTTTTCCAAAAGAAAGTTGATGGGGAACTTGTTTTCCAGAAGCTGATACTCCTTTCCATATAGAGGAAAACAAACTACTTTCTTAGTTGAGCTGACTTTGGCTTGTGAACCTGATGTAAAACACTGCTAGTTATCTCAGTCTATTATTAATGCAGAATAGTAATATTGTAATTGTTTTCACGATTAATGAATTTGCTGAAGACAGAAAATATAATAGCAGTCAAACTGTGTTACTATATGAATGGTGTTCATTAGAAGTTTAGTAAAATCAGTCCTATGTTCTGGGAAATAAGCGCTTGTGGATAAAACCCTGGGAGATGCTTGCTTGCAGTTCCTCTGGTGTTTCAGCACCATGATTTGTGTCCAATCTCAGAGATCCAAGAATGGGTATTTTCTATGAGCGCACAGGATTTTTACTCATGCTATTGCCAAATTCTTCTTATTTAATACCATACATTGAGCCTATTGAATTTATTGTGACTGTTATAAGATTATCTGGGATGAGGTGTCAAGAGGGTGAGTTTTCCACAATGTGAAGTAAAAAAAAAATAAATAGTGTACTTCATGGAGCAGAACTTGGCATCAATGCTTAAGCAGATGGCTATGATGATAGGGCTGCAGTCACTAGCAAGTAAAGGTAGAGTGGACAGAGAATATTTGTTTTGTACATGTGCCTAAGTGGGAGCAGTCACATCACTTGTTCTTTTTTATAAAGTGAGTCATGACAAAATTACTTAAGCTTTCAGGAATTTGAAAGAGAATGAGGGGAAGAAAACACTTGGCATCTGCAATTTAATGCTTTTAACTAGAGAAAGAGAGCTAAGCTAATGCTCAAGTGTTTCATGTGTTGCAGGCAGGCACTAATATACCCAGAGAGTAGTTAAAGACTCCTTGGAGAAACCTCACAGCCACCTCATTCTCGACTCATCACGACAGCCTCACTTCCCACAATTTAAAAAAAAAAAAATCAAAAAAAAAAGAAAAGACACTGTGAGCTGTGAGGAAGGTGGGAGATGATGCATGGATCATTTTTTCACTTCTGCTGTTCTCAATAGCTCTCCTGCTGTTCCTTCTTTTCAGTTTGCCTCTCAGGTCTTTAAGTCATTACCTAATTTTCACTGTGTAGCAAGTACTCGGGTACGATTTTTTCAGGTGAAAGAAATCCAGAGTGAATTTCTAACTCACAAAAAAATGACCCTTCAAGATAGTGTAGTATAGCAGTGTTCTACATGCCTGGTGCATTTTTTTTTCCTAGTCTCAAAGACTGCCACTGATGGATTTGAAAGAGACCCTCTGCTTTGTATTCGTAGTCGAAGCATGTGAGCTATGCTGCCTACTGGAGCAGCTCCAGTTGCATCTTGTGGGAGCAGCCGTACAGGCTGATGTGTACAGTGTTGCCGTATGCGCCCGTTCCGTATTCCTGGGAAACCGCAGCTTGGCCAATTACCGAGATGACACCAATGTGGTGAACAGCAAATGGCGTTTATTACACGTATACACTAACTTATATAGCCTAAGTACTTCAGCTACGCCCCTAAGGGCACGCACCACACATCAATCATAGAGCAGGGAGGGGGCCTAACACGTCACAACCCACGGGGGGGTCTCGCAGTCTCGCAGTTGCTGACAACATCTCCCCCCCCTCCAAGCTCAAGAAAGTTTACTACAACTCGAGAGGACCCTAACCGCGTACAACCCGAAATCCCCGCATTGCGCCTATACATGCCATTGTCCTCTCGGTTAAGCCTTGCCCCGTTACATCCTGATTCGCAAAATAATCCTACCCTAATAACCCTACAATACTAGTAAAGTTATAGACAGAGAGATTAGAGACTAGAGTAATTGCTGATAGCTCTAGTGGCACTATCTATGCCCAATATATACCAACGTTGTCTCAGGTACCTGTTGGAAAGTACCTCAAAAATAAGAAACGTCTGTTCAGTATCAAGGCAGATGTCTCAAGCCTTGATAGCACTGCTCTCACAAACCTGCTGTGTGGAATTGCTTGTTCTCCAGGCCTCAATTTGGCCACCTGCCCCTGAAGGGAAACCATTCTAATGCCCACAATGTATACTGCACTGGCTTAAGAACCATGCACATCAGATTTGTTACATGCAGAAAGAGAAGGCCTAATACTGTCAAGATTTCTAATGCATTTAAAGCAAGGAGTGATTTCAATCCCTGTTTCTCTGCACAATCTATCAGGCATGTGATGTCTTTCCGATTGAGGGATACCCCTCCCAGGCCTCTGTTACCGTTCCCTACTACCAGGAAAATCTCTAGTACTTTTCCTTCCTCTATCAGGCTAGATCTAAACTTCCCACAATCTGTTAGTGCATCTCTCTTAACTCCCAAATGCAAATTCACCTTTCTCCTTTCGCTATCCTGTTCAGTCACAGCTGGGCGCACCCCTCCCCTCAGACCCATCTCCCTTTGATCATGCACTGACTGTTGTAGAGGCTTCTGATTGGTTGCATGCGCACTCAATCTTGTAAAAGGATGTGGGTCGAGTCAATGGGTCTGAACACTGTGGCAGAGAGTGGTTCCGGAGACTATCGTTATTTCTTTCTCCGTCGGGTGTAAACTGAGCAGAGGGCGCCGGCTGGACGCCACCTACACCTTCAGGTGCAGTCAGAGTGGACAGTGCTGGCCGTACACTGTCATCCGAGCACCTGTAAGTTACATCGCTTCCCTTTCTCTCTGCTGTTTTTTCTTCTATCGCTTCTCTAACTTTTGACCAATCCGTACCCAGGCCTTTCCCGCAGTCCCCACCCCCCTGGGTGCTTCTGCATTCCACCTCCTGAGAGGAGACAGCAAGTGTCCCATCCCAGCTCACTTTTCCCCCTGCCCCCACAGGTGGTGTTAGGTTACACAGAGAAGGATACAGCGGTCGTCCTGGATACGGCTGAGAAGTATCAGCGACCTTGGGTTCCTGCACTTGAGCCGTTTTGCAAGATAAAAGTGCAGACAGTTTAGCGCAGTCTTCTTCTACTTGTTTATGCGAAGCTGAATCCGAGGGGGCGGTGAAGGGGGGTGCCGATGGTGCGGACGAGATGTTAGTCGCCATAGCTGAGGGCATATTTGCCGTGTTCTCTTCCTCAGTGGACCTGCAAGAAAGCACGCTCCCCGCACAAGTAATCATAATCCTGTCCAAGAGGCGCTCCCCCATTCCCATGGTTAACGCCACTGTGGGCGAGGGTCTCCCTGAGGTACGGGACCCCGATCTTGGGTAGGCAGAGTTGCATTGTCTGGCCCATTTGGTGTTCCCGGGGAGGGGCCCTGGGCCTACGGCACCCCCCCATCCTCGTTTCCCTGCGGCACTATGACAAACTTCCAACATTGGTGTGCAACATGTCCAGCTCCGCCACATAATTGGCACCGCCTCTCCGGTCCCTGTGAACCACTCTGCCCCATCTTCTTAGGGCACTGCGCCTTGAAGTGACCACGCTGCCCGCACTTAAAGCACGGGCCTTTATCCCTTTCTTCCCCAACTTGAGTGGCTGACATCACCTTAACCGCAGAACTAACTGAAGCAACCATCTCCTGCATGGCGGCTGCTAGTCCCTCATAAGTTAATGGTATGAGCCTCTGATGATCTAATACATACTTAATAAGCTCCCCTGGGGTAGTTAGAGTTCCTGGCGCTGCTCTGATGATTTGCTGGATGTCTGGCAGCGATTTCTGCTTAAGACAATCTGTTATGACTGGCGATTGGACCTCCCGTGGGAGATCAGATCCCTCCACTGCATGGATCAGGCGATTTGCAAAGTCAGAAAATGACTCAGTGGGGCCCTGCTTGATTTCTGCCCACGGAAGCACAGGTTCCGCAACCTTAGCCAATTCTCGCAGGGCTTGAAGGGCTGCAGTTGTAACGGCTGCCAGCTCTCCTGCTCTAAGCAATGTTGCTTGGCCCTCTGGGGATCCCACCATTCCATCTGCCAGGCCCTGAAGACGTGCAAGACTAGTTCTATCGCCTCTGCGCTGGCCGTTGGCTGGATGGTGGGGGTCACGGGTGGCAGCAGCCACCACAGCTTGAAGTAATCTATTCCATTCATCATGCCACAGGATGTATTGTACAGGCTCAAGAATAACATGCATAAGGTTCACCACATCATATGGCAAGAGACTAGAAGACATGAGAGCTTCCACCGCTGCCATAGTAACAGGGGAACGCAGACCTTTGCTTTTAACTAAATCCGAGAGGCGAATAATCGCTTTGGAATCCAAAGGAGTCCAAGCTGGACCCTCTGGTTTTACCACCACTGAGAGAGTAAGCGCGGTACCTGCTGGATCTGCGGCCCGTATGTCTTCTCTCACACGAGCCCAATCAGTGAGGGTAGGCGGGCCCCATGAAGCTGTTGATATGGGACCACATCCCTCCTGAGCGGACCCTGGGGCCATCCCTGTTGGAACGCCCCCCCCACAGCAAAACTGTGCGGGACAATCCATGCCCCTCAGGGGGTGGCCGCAATAGCAAGTGGAATCGGGCAATAGGTGAGTCCTGCCCCTGCTGTCGCATTCCACAGGTCGCACCACAACTCCTCCAGACATCTCTCCCTCCCCAAGGACCCTCTTATCAACTGTGCTAAAAGTTATACTGCATTCCTCCACAGGCCCCCCTCCCCCTTTATCTTTAAAGGGCTTAAGTGAAGGATATAAGCTGCGAGCCGGGTAAGGAGGTGGGTCCTCCTCTTTATGGTTTAATCGTTCCTGCTCCGCTTCGTTCTTCTTTATCTCCAGGGTCGTTGTTTCTGGTGGGGCTGAAGGAGTCAGCGCCATCTTGCCCTCCAGCGAACCTGTAGGGGAGACAAGACCCCCCCCTGCCCCTAACCCCAGCAGATCCCTAGCACGGTCACCTGCAATTTTCTCCTCTTTAGCTTTCCTAAAAGCTGTCAAAATTAATCCCCACACTTTAAACTCCACAACTTTTTGAGTGGACATTGCCCTCTGTGTGAGCACAGCAGTAAATGAATCCCAATTATCGGGATCGTATAGGTCAGAGGGGGATGATAATAGCCCCTCCTTCTCCAGCAAGGAGAGTGTCGCTGAAATCTCCTTCTTAGAAGGAACATTTTTCCCACAATAAATTTTGCATGCATGCAGAATCACCTTTATGACGGCTTCCATATCGCCTCCGGCCGAACGTATGCCTGGCCTCTTCCTGGCGTTTCCCCTAACTTCCTAGGGGGATCCCGGCTCCTTCTCCCGAGCCTCCCGCCTGACAAGGAGTAATGCGCACTCCTCCCCGTCCCCGGGCTTCCACTACTCCGCGGATTTGAATTTACCCGCTCCTCAATGGACTCCTGCTCCGTTGGCAGACAGCTGATTCACTCCCAGGAATCACGTCGGTCAGGGTCACCACTTGTTGCCGTATGCGCCCGTTCCATATTCCTGGGAAACCGCAGCTTGGCCAATTACCGAGATGACACCAATGTGGTGAACAGCAAATGGCGTTTATTACACGTATACACTAACTTATATAGCCTAAGTACTTCGGCTACGCCCCTAAGGGCACGCACCACACATCAATCATAGAGCAGGGAGGGGGCCTAACACGTCACAACCCACGGGGGGGTCTTGCAGTCTCGCAGTTGCTGACAACAGTACAGGCTCCCAAAAGCAAAGCAATTACTAATTGTTTATGGAAAAAAAAAAAAAAAAAAAAAAAAAGTAGTAGCTTTTTTGTTGAGAGTATTAGGTTACAGAGGTAAGAGATGGAAAAGCCCTGCCAAATTCTACTTAAGCTGTTCACTTAACTACAAAGCAGAATTGTTACTGCACAGTATAATCTGCAGGGATTTTTCTGTTACGTATAAAGGTAGCATTTATTACATATTACTGCAGCACACCACTGGGAGTTTCTTGTTACCATTCCAGCTAATGAAATGGCACAGCTCTGCCTGAAGGCTTGAACTAGGCAACTTCTTGGGCTCATCTGCTTTCTTGTCAGCAAATTGTCATGGCTAACTTTGCTGTCATTAAGGGACTGCTCCTGGACTCAAAAACACTGTAAGGATGGGTGAGGGAAGAGAAAGGAGAGGAGAAGAAAGTATTTGCTGAGAAGTCTCATTGGCAACCAATTACTTAGTTCATTGACAAATGATTATCCAGTGTTGTGAATTGAGCACACCTAAAATTCCTTTAAACCATGGGGTGCTTGCTAGCTTGTGGAATTGAGTCTGGAGTGCAGAAATTCACAAACCTTACATCTCTAGATATGTTTGGCAGTGAGTCATAGCAATAGTGGGGCAATGCTGGGTCTCTCAGCACATTCTGTGCTTGTGTACCTAAAGAAGCTCTTGCTGCCATCTGTCATGAAAAAGTTTAGGTGACATATTTGATCCAAATTTTGGACATTTGAGATAAAACAGAGAAAAGGACCATGTGGCACCGATAATTTTATTCTGCCCTTGCAGATTTGTTGAGAGGACTTTTTTGTGTACCAGTAGACTTTGTGTTGTACCATTTGCACATCTCTGATATCTCCGGATCAGGTATATTCACCCGCATCTTGTACAGTGATGGTCTAAATGCTCTATCATATTCTTTGACTAATTTAACAGTAGTGCAGCTGTGGGCTGATGCCTGATCTGCATCAAATTAGTACTGTTAGGCAGTAGGGCTTTTTGCTATTAATGATTGTGTGATCATGTCCTCCTGTCAGAGAAAGATGTGAGAAGTGACTAAAGTCTTTTTTCCAGGGTAAGGGATTATGGATTATCAAAGATGCTGAGGGCTCTTGTAGCTGCACACAGATATTACTGCTGATTTTGGCTTTCTCAGTTTGCCCTGTGCCTGTGCAATACATGTCAGAAATTTTATCCTCTGGCACATGCCATCATTATGTGAGTGGGCTTCTGGGGGTATGAGTAGGTTCTATCCAGCTCCTCTATCCAGGAGCTCCTAGAGTTCAACTCCTGCATGTTTTCAGAGCCTGCTCTGCGGTCTCAGAATGCAATGCTTTTTTGTGATTTCCATACTTTCACAAATCAGTGAGAAAGTGGGATGTGCAAAGGATGCCTCTTAGGGCAGCAGAAACAGGGAAATTGATTACTGTAGGGTAAATCAGGTACATTTAGTATGTCTGTAGTTTGATTGGACTCATGGCTTTTGTGTAACTGTGCAAGTGGCAGATGCCTTTTTATGACTGAAGTCAGCTATTAACTCAGTAGGTTTGGCTGGCATTAGTCATTGAGAGAGTGTTTTGAACAGGGGAGGTATAGACCAGGACTTAGCACAGAAATTCAGCTTTTGTTGTCAGAGTACCACTGGTGCAGATTCATTACAACCCATTGTCTGCATTCCAGGTTCCTGTTGAACTCAGTTCAGAAATGAAAGTTGTCTAACTTTGGAGTACATCTTAAAGAACGGAGGTCTCACTGTTATCTCCCCCATCACATTTTGATGATACAAGTGATAAGCTGCTATATTGAGATATATATATATATACATATATGTTTTCCTTTATCTCTGGCAATTTGTAAGTTGGAGAGTTGGAATCTCTGGATTTATTTTGTTCATTACTATGAGTTGTTTCCTGCTCTCCAGTAAAGCTAGGCATTGGCGTGTGAGAATTTTTTTCAGTTCATGGGTTCCTTTCCTCTGACTACTAAAATTTTGATTCTGTTCTTACTCTCTAGTCTTTGTGAGTTTACTCTCACTAATAATTCTTTCTTAGTAGCATTTGCCTATCTCTGTGCCACTGCGTATTTAACTGATCTTCTGCTCACCCTTTTTAGGATTCATTTTTTCTATTGACTGTACCGTTGTCTTTGGCTATAGTATCTGTTCTCGCTTAAAGCATATGTGGAGCAGCCTTGTAAGCATGCAAAACTCAGAAAACTAAAAAGGACTGTTTCAGAGCTCACTTCCCCTCCGCTCCTAAGCTACCAGACATTTCATATGTGGCTACACAGGGCAGGAGGAGATGCTGGAAGAGCAGACTGTGGAAAGCAAAAGAAGCACAGGAGAAGGTTTCTCCTCAGGGAATATTAACCCTAGAACAAGAATGGTGTCCACATAATGCTATAGACCAAGAGAAGAGAGATCCTTAGGGAAATTAGGTGGGTTTCCCATCTCCTTTTTAACCCTGCAGTACACAAAGCCATGCTTAAGACAGATTCTTCATAATGTATACTAGTTTTCTGAAGGAGTGAAAGGGATAGTTTTTGTTCTGAGTATTGTTTCTACTGCAACGGCAAAGGTTTTTGAAGCAAGTAGAGTCAAGCATTTCACTTCATAAGAGCTGGTATTTTCTTCCATGCTCTCAGCCAGCATGCATGTGGTTTCTGGTGCCCTAGAGGGAGGAACTGTACCCTGGAAAGGCAGCTCTTGGCCTTGCACGTGTATAAAGCTGTTCCCAGAAGTCCTTAACAGAGAGTTGGCTATAGTCCCAGTTGGAGATGAGAGTAAATTCAGTGAGTGAATAAAGCCTGATTACATACGGTGGGTAGCATAGGTCATTTACATTCTTCTTTTCCTTTTACTGCTGTATGGCAATGGGAACAGGGACAGGGACATGTTGTCAGAGGACCAACATCATGGGATGAACTTGTGTCTAGAATTGACCTATTCTCCTTTGCTTACTTTCCATCTCTCCTCCTTCCATTTTCTTCTATTATTTAATTTTCTAAACAGACATCCCCCAGTGTGCACTGTGTAAATATTGTCACTGAATTACTGTCTGTTTGCTTAACTCATTAGAGAAAGTCATGATAAGCTTTTTAATTACAAAATTAGCTTCGCCAAATCAATTTCTTTCATTTAATGAACTGAAGAAAGCTGCAAATGGGAGGGGTAACATTCCCTCTTCCCCTGAAGCATAAATTCGCTACCTGCAATCCCTAACTTTCTACAATAAAATCAAGGTATTTAAGGAACAGATTCACTATATTTTAAAAACATTTGAGCTGAAGAGCATCTTGAGCCTCCCTTTGTTTGTTTTTCTCACTCGTGAAATTAATCCTTTTGTTTGTGCTCCTCTTTTTTGCATTTTACTCTCTGTATTTATTTTATCTTCATCTTAGAGTAGCAGTCACAGAACTGAATATATTGAAAACAAAACCATTTTCATCATTTGCATACCGTGCTTCTTGGTGAAAGGACAGTACCAGTATAAGGAAGCTTCTTCAGCAGTTCAAAAGACAACCTAGATATTGGTTGAGTGAGTTAATAGTTTGATGAATGTGTTTGCGCACCCTTATTTTGTTGTAAGACCTTGAGTGGAGAGTGCTGAAAGCAGGATAACCTGAATAATCTCAGTGCATCCACAGCTGTAGACTTTGGCAGAGTTAGGTGTATTGAATGTTAAAGATGTGGACGCTCTACCTGTGCTTATGGTTATCAGCTTTGTTACTGATAGATTTGTAGGCTTGCAACCTAAAAGGAGCTATCAGAGAAGATGAGGTTGTGTGAAGATACTGGTTAGGACTGTGGCCAGGAGCATGTAAGGCACAGACAAACTTCCCATGTCATTGATTTAATTTTGGAGGAGATTCTCTCCAGTGAAGTAATGGGACAGACAAATCCTTGTATCTAGCTGTCCGTTTGTTGAACTCTTTTATTTGTTAATTGGACTTGCAGCAAGAGTTCTCTGCATACTTGTCTAAGACTTCTTGCTATTCTTATTTTGATATACTGTCAGAAAGATGTTCAGGCCAAAGTTGGGTAGAAAGTAGGCGGTGTTATCCCCAGGTGCTGCTTCAAGTCTAAGAATAATTAGATATTCCTGCTAATGTAATCAGAAGTGAAGCAATTCACAAAGCTAACACTTAACTTGTCACCTGTACACTTCAGTGTCAATGTTCTGTAGAATTGTGTGGGGACAAACCACAGCTCCTATAGCCTCTCATTCTTACCTATCTCTGTGGGCTGTGTCAAGCTCTGCCACTGAGACAGATTTTCTTAACAGTTCTGGTGACTTTATTATTTCTACCCTGAGGTTTATCACTCATAGAGAGTTAGGTGATCCATAGTACCACGGCACCGAAATGAACTAAGCCCCAAACAATATTGTTAAATTCTTAAGAAAAAAAAAATATCTTTAAGCTCGAATGAATACTAGAGTTAAACCTTTTTCTTCCAAAATAGTTTGCTTATTGTTTAGATATGAGAGCACAGATGGAACTGAGGACTAAAAGAAAGGAAGGACAAAAAGATAAATTCAAGTGATCAAAATTTCTGAAGGAGTTTCCTTTACACATAGTGAAGCTTCCTTCACCAGGTCACTGAAATCATGGATAGGCATTAGGAACTGGTGATGACTGCTGCTGTGCATTAACTCTGTTCCCAAGGCTGGGTAAGCTTCAGCCAGAATATCAGAAAACAGATTCTTTAGTGATCAGCTTTGCATTGGACTTGTTCTTTAATGTAATGAATCAAGTTATAGAGCCTCTCTGCTGCTTTCATAATATATAAATTCAATACATGTTTAGTATTTGGTGTGTGTACTTATTATGAAATCCACTTGTCTTGATGTTAATTTCTGCGTAGCAGATGATGCAACAGGGATGTGCCGCTGTGGAAGAGGTAGACATGGCTATGACTGTTACCAATTTTTCTTACTGCAAATTGCCAAAATAGCTTTATGTACCTATAAATAGGA